GCGCAATGGTGGCGGTGTAGATGACAGCGGCGTCCTGACCAATCACAAGCTTGCATTATCCGTCTCGATGGACGGATGTTTAGAAAAGAGAGCTTGACTCCGTCCGTCCTTGTGGGGCTCTCCAGCAGGCCCGCAAGGACGTTGCGTGTCTCCGCACTGACCCATCAGATGGGTTTGAGAGCTGGTGGAGTACTCGGTTAGAACTCCGTAGGAACTACGTTGAGGACTAACTTAAAATGGCGTTGTTCTGTTTTATTAAACTTAGTTGTTTTTGATTCTTAGCCAATCGGAGTGGACAGATTAACTAAACACCACAGGGCTCTGCCACGCATCAGAAAGGAAGTTCTGATTGGATGAGTGAACAACGTGTCATGTGTTTGTCTTATGTGGATCAGGATGTCTAGCTCAGTTAGTCCAAAGATTTGTTATTCATTAAACACATACATCATAACATTGTGATTTCACAGATCAGTCACCTGATTATTATTGACCAACAGTTGTTTTGATTAGCTTCATTAGAAATAAAGTTCTTTGATTAACTAATGAAAAGCGTTCTTCGTCCTTCTTCTGTCTTCTTTGCTGGAATGTAAACACCAGAGCAAGGGCACGACCTTGGCATTCATGCACACTGTCACTGTGTCAAAGGGCAGCTGTTAAGGCAGAAATGGCATATTCATAACACTACAAAGTTCTAAAAGTTAGATTTTTAATTATATGGAACTTTTACAAAAACTGTTCCATTAGCTTCTCAACTCCGTCCTCAATCTTGCATTTTTTAGCTACAACACCCTCTTTGGTTCCAGAATGCTATCAAGTCTGACAACTGGAAGGAATTGGACTGACTCTGATGGAATGGGCGGGGCTGACTCTGGAATGGGCGGGGCTGACTCTGGTGCAGCTCCGCCTTTGTGGTTCTGCAGCGAGCACCACTTGGTATTATTTAATATTTTTTCATATTCACATACATAGTATTTAGAGTCCCACACAACTCCAGCTGGTGGCAGTAATGCAACAAGAAGTGACTTGCTAACCACCACAAGAGTAGAAGATGAAGAGGAAAAAAAATGGTGATTGTGCAATGTGAAACTCAAAAATTCACTAGAAAGTAAATAAATAAATACATAAATAAACGATTTGTGTAAATAAATAAATAAGCATAACCATTGGTGCCACCCATGAATAAACAAGTGCCCCACATGGGCCACCTCATTTTAAAAGTCCTGGACACGGCTCTGGACCAGACATCTCAGACATCTGGCACATTTGCATGAATCAGCACAGAAGGCCTCGTATCCTTCATATCAGGTGGTGAAAAGTATATTTTCTCAGTGAGGTGATCAAACACACCAAGATGAGCAAACAAAGCTGTGTTTCAGTACCAGAACTTCAGGGTAGATTTTAATGGTGAATGGCCTGTATTTGATACAGGGCCTTCTAATCTTGGAACCCCCCAAGGTGCTTTACAACACAGTCATTCACCCATTCACACCCTGGCGGTGATGAGCTACATTGTTAGCCTGGCCTTCCAGACTCGTCCTCTGTTTAATTCTACACAGATAACTAGTCTGGTTACTCACAGGCAGAGAGGCTCATGAGGGGCGGGACTAGCCAGCTCAAAAATAACCAATCAGAAAAAAGGGCGAAATCCTGACTGTACCGCGAGACGCTGCAGTCAAAAATGGCGACGGCGTAAACATCTGTTTTTAGAAGAAAGGCTTTTAGCGCTGCTTCTTGTTTTAAAGACGTGTCCAAGTCATTTAGAAGAGAGGAAAGAGCCGCCGCGAACTCCGCTTCAGACACCGTCTTCGTTGTTTATGAGAAACCGAGCGTGGCGGTGTGTGACGTAAGCTGCTCGGCGCTGATTGGCTCAGCTAAAAAATCTCGTGGGTGGGGTTATTTGAATAGAAGAGGTCCCAGGTGGGGCTGGCTGGCCAGGCTACTACGGTGTAACCACAGCGGCCCTGGGGCACGCTGACGCCACCGGTCTCTCCCTTCACCACCAGCAGGAACCTCCTGACATGTGGGTGTCTCCACTGGACCAGGCTGGCTGAACGGCCATTTCCAGGAACCTTCTGAGTACCTGCTCAGGGACAGGTACTCCAAACGATCCGGTGGAGTAGCTGAGCAGAAGCTTTGGTTAACTCACGCTGATTGGTCAGTAGCCAGTAGGAAGGACGTCAGATGTTGTCCAAAACAACCGGCATTAGTAAGATTAGAAGAGTTGGTGGTGAAGCAGCAGAATGGAAGCAAAAGTAAGCATCTCACCCAAAACACAGGTGGAACGTCCAGAAAGGGTCATATTTCATCTACATGTTGACCGACATCATCTGCATGTATAAGCCCACCAACTGGGTGGATTTTCTCTCCTGTCTCCTAAAGTCCAGACCTCCACAGTGCTCGGCACACAAGATAACACACCGTCAACAAACTGTTCTTTCCAAGGCCTCGGCTTTCCCCCTTATCGCTTCTACAGGAGTCCACACTCTTCACATAAAAACTACTTCAAATTTAAATAATCGTATGGTTGAATGAACCAGATGTTATATGTTTGAATAATCTGTGCCTAATTCAGTGAAGATTAAATGAATATTGTTCTGACAATGATTACGTATTTTGATCAGTGCTGTTTGATTTAACAAGTTAATCACCCACACATACGGTAAATGGTCTGTATTTCATACAGCGCCTTCTAGAGTCCTGGAACCCCCCAAGGCGCTTTACAACACAATCAGTCATTCACCCATTCACACACACATTCACACACTGGTGGGGATGAGCTACGATGTAGCCACAGCTGCCCTGGGGCGCACTGACAGAGGCGAGGCTGCCGAGCACTGGCGCCACCGGTCCCTCCGACCACCACCAGCAGGCAAGGAGGAGGGTTAAGTCTTGCCCAAGGACACAACGACAGCGACAGACTGAGCGGGGCTCGAACCTGCAACCTTCCGATTACGGGGCGAGTGCTTAACTCCTGTGCCACCGTCGCCCAGGACACAAGGTTAAAGCACATAAAGATCCTTTATCCACAGAACGAGAACATTCTTGTGTGTGATGAAGGCGTGGTTTCTGAGGGATGTTGGTAGGAGACTACAACACGTCAACTTCTGACTCGCAGGAATGATAAACTCTAGATTAATAAAACTAGGAGGACTTCCCGAGTTATTCAGTTTCTAGCTGACACCTCCATTCGGCCAAAGGAGAGAAGCCTTTTTGAAACAACATCTCTTAGACCTTCAGTCAAAACCTTGCCACAAAGCTGCAAGTGATTACACACAACAGCTGTTTTCAGAGCCACAGCAACGCTCAGACATCCATCTTGGACACCTAATCTGCAGACCCGGGTTGTATCCCATGGCCAGGGAAGCTTGAACTCAGAGGAAGCTACTAATCTCTGAGGATCGTGGTCTCGACGTCCGGTGACCTCACCACTCTGACCGCAAACCTCCGGACCGCCGGGAACAACTCCTACAAGGATATGGTAGACCTGCATACTGGTGTCCGATGTCGTTTTGTTAATAACCAACTTCTAGTTCATAGCAGACCAGTTTCTTCCAGATACAAGGTTCTGATAAACATCACACACATCACATTCCATCCATCACAGAAAGTCGTTGATAGCTTGTCATGTATATAATTAGTCTAGAAAATAAAGTTTATTTTTAATTATATAATTGACTCTGAATTAATACGAAGTGTGTTTATGGTCCCTGAACAAGCAAAGAATCCTAAATTCTTCTGGCTAAACAAAGATCAATCAGGGTGATATCCTATATTTATATAGAATCAAACCTCATTGCCAACTCCGGGTCGGGGGAGAGGTCCTACCTCAAGTGGAGGAGTTTAAGTATCTCGGGGTCTTGTTCACGAGTGAGGGCAGGAGGGATCGGGAGATCGACAGGCGGATTGGTTCGGCGTCTGCAGTGATGCGGACGCTGAGCCGGTCTGTCGTGGTGAAGAGGGAGCTGAGCCAGAAAGCCAGGCTCTCGATTTACCGGTCGATCTACGTCCCAATCCTCACCTATGGTCATGAGCTTTGGGTAATGACCGAAAGAACGAGATCGCGGATACAAGCGGCCGAAACGAGTTTCCTCCGTAGGGTGGCCGGGCTCAGCCTTAGAGATAGGGTGAGGAGCTCGGACATTCGGGAGGGACTCGGAGTAGAACCGCTGCTCCTCCGGATTGAGAGGAGTCAGTTGAGATGGTTTGGGCATCTGGTCAGGATGCCTCCTGGACGCCTCCCCGGGGAGGTGTTTCGGGCATGTCCTGCCGGCAGGAGGCCCCCGGGTCGACCCAGGACACGTTGGAGAGGTTACATCTCCAATCTGGTCCGGGAACACCTTGGGGTCCTGCCGGAGGAGCTGGCCGGGGAGAGGATGGTATGGAGCTCCCTAGTTGGGATGCTGCCGTCGCGACCCGGACCCGGATAAGCGGAGGAAGACGACATCAAACCTTACTGATCATAATTAAACCCCAAATCTCACATTGTAAACCCTTACACAGGGAAACTCCCCCACAACCATTTAATGGGGCTTTGCCTCACTGACCGCTGTAAAAAAAAAAAAAACTGCAGTTCTGGTCAATGCCACATTTCACATCACAGCAGCTCTCATCCTCTGGATTAAAGGAGTTTCTTCCATAGAATAAATGCTCTTAATGTTGCAGTAGATGCTCTTTGGCACTGCCAAAGTGGTCGCCATATGCTAACGTCTGAGCTAAGTGCTGAATTTGAATGGAGACAGCTGAGACGACGTCCCGTCAGTTTCCCGTAGTTCCAGGAATGGAAACACAACGAATGCATCAAGGACCAAACATTCATGGTCATGCCGAATGTTCACACTTCTGAATCATCCATTTCATGCGTTCTGCCGTCAACCATGTCCCCAAAACAAGCCACTTTATTGATTTTCCAGTTCTTATCCTTACAACTGGCATCTGAAGTCCTTAAACTTTCATTTGGAAACCATTTGTTGCAACAGTCCAACAGAAGTACAGGAGACAGCTTCTAAACCAAAATCCATTTATTACAACTTAAGATGCGATCTTGAGAACTTGTATTAATGAGCCAGGTTTGAAATATTCAGAGATGAAGTTTATTATTGCAAACATGAGTTTAAAAGTTCATCTGTCCTTTGCCCAGATTTCCTCCGTCTACTCTGTGGACCATTTTCAGCTGGAGCTCTGAAGGTGCAGGATACTACTTCTCGTAGAACCTCGGGCACGTCAACCACTGGATTGGCTTGTTCTGCCTTTGAGAGCATAGAGATGCTCGGGGGTTGAATTGTGGATTCACCATGGAGTTGTCAGGCGGCCGGTTTCGATCTGGAACCACGATCTGCGGTTTGTTTTGATAGTTTAGACTCTGCAGGCCTGCAGACTGTTGAAAACCTTGCAGCTCTGGTGTAGCCCGTTCTGTCCAGCGTTGTGCTGGAGCAGGATTTGGGTTAGCTGGAGGACTGAAGAGTACCCGAGGAAGATTGGGTCTTGCGAGGACCTGCTGGGATCCTGCAGAAGGATCACGGGGGGTCTGAGGAAAGAGAAAATTACGGAGGAGGGTCCAGTGACGCTGAAGCTGGGCTTGGTGGCAGCACGAGGATTCTGGGGTCTGTAGGTTTTGGACTTTACCATGATGGGGTCTGACAACATGATGCAAGATTGGCCAATTAGGCACAGTCTCAGGTAAGCCTCGTTTGACTAGTTCCAGCTGGTCTTGGTACATTTGTCCCAGTCTGTGCAGATTCAAACCCTTGTCTCGAAGGTTCTGGATGGGAGCGGTCGGTTTGATGTGAAAACCCGGGTTTTCACTGGTGCTTTTTCTTTTCAAAGGGTTGATTAAACCCCTCTGGTCAGACCTGGTGGGAATGCTTATGTCTTCCAGATGTGGAACTCTGCTTTGAGACAAATAAAAATCTTTTACATCATGAAGCCGTTTGAGATCTTTTAACGGGGAAAATCCTTTGAAGATGTAGTGCAGAGGTATGTTTATGTCGAGTTCGATTTTCGTGGGCTCCACACCCGGTTGTGCTGGTGAGGCCACCAGCCCAGCTGGATATTTAGCTGGCTGCTTTTTTATATTCGGAGATTTTGGGCTCTGATGGTCTTTCACGAGACTCTCCACCAGCTTTAACCAGGGGTTCTCCTGAGCTTCAGGAGCCTGCACCTGGTGGACATGGTGAGGAATCAGGTAGTCATGCAGGGCCTGGGCACCTTGCCACACCCGAGGATGCACCACCTGTTGAGCTGTCAACAAAATTATCAAGATTAGGGTTAGGGAATGTTAAGAAATGTTAATTAGCCTTTTCCACAACATTCACTTTTATGATGGGATTCAGGTAGATCTTTTTAAAGGTCAGATTTAGAGATTTCAGATTAGAAAGATCAATTCAAACTCACCTGATGCAAAAACAGACTTGTAGTTGACATCACTCAACAAGCAAACCAGCAATAGTCTGGAAAAAAAAGCAAATAGCTCAATTTTTTTACTGGAAATCCAGCCTTTTATTTTGTATTTAATCCCAGTACCTTGTAATTAGGAATCCAGCAAGCATGGCTGCTGCAGCTCTCACACCTCCAGCTACCAAAGCTGACCTGCTTTTACTTTGCCAGCCTCCACAAACAGACCCACTAGCTGCTGATGGTGCTGCTGCTGCCAAGCAAAATTATGAATGACAGAATCCATAAAGTGCTCTGCTGTTTTATGTTTGACTGCTTACCTGAAGGTGGCTCTCAGGTGTGACCAATCACGCACATCAGTGAAACATCCAAAGGAGGCAGACACCAGGCCTAAATCCTCCCACAGACTCCACCTAGACAGGTGGGATCACTTGGTTTGATTGTCCAGGTGGAGAGACAGAGTTCAGATCAGTGAGAATGGAGGTGTTTTTTAACTCCAGGAGTTACTGGAGAAATGTTACAGAAGATGTATTTATTTATTTATTTACTCATGCCTCTTGCGTCACTTTGTTCATGCGTGTGTTTTGTTTGTCTTGCTGCAGAGCTTTTCTGACTCTGAAAACAAAAACTGTTGCACTGTTTCATGCATTTACCTTGCAAAAGGTAAATGTCGCATGTTTTGGTCACCTTTAGGCCCTGTCCACACGTAGCCGGGGATCTGCCAAAACGTAGATATTTTTCTACGTTTTGGCCTGTCATCCACACGAAAACGGAGTTTTTTCACACGAAAACGGATCTTTTTAAAAACTCCGGCCAAAGTGAAGATCTGTGTTTTCTCCGTTTTGGGTGTCTGCGTGTGGACGGACAAACCGGAGTTTTAAGGTCCGCAACGTCACTTTCCGCGACAAAAAATGCTGACATCACGTGTGCGACCTGTGTTTACACTAGCCGGCATCATGGAAGCCCTCAGAGCTGCGCTCTGTCACTACTCGATCCATCAATTGTCCAAGCGCTTTCTGCTTGTTTGTTTTTGCAAGCGGACTTACTGCTCCTTGCGGAAGACCACAGACGAAGGACGAGGTTAAGAACGGGGGAAGTACTGCCGCCTACAGGTCTGGCATGTCCTTAACAACGTATTTATCCGGGTACGTGTGGACAGAGTTTTTTTTTAAAACGCGGTGGTGTGGATGCAAAATTTTGGAGGGGCGGATATTCGTTTTTAAAAAACCCGGCTACGTGTGGACTAGGCCTTAGTCCAACAAGATCGAATAAGTGTCGCTCCGAAGGAATCGTATCACCCCTGTGTTTGGCAGAGTTGCACTGGCTGCCTGTGGCTTATGGTCCAATTCTTCAAGTACTTCTTTTACCTTCAAAGCCCTTATTAACCAACCTCTACCTGTCTGAACTGCTAAACTAGCATGTTCCACCAAGACCCCTACGCTCTGCGAATCAGCATTTACTCTGTTTCTTTAATGAAGCACCAATCCGGCGGTGAGCAGGCTAAAACACTCTCCCTCTGTCTGTGCGTCTGGCTTCCTCGCTAGCACGTTTTAAATCCGCCCCAAAACCCACGATTTCAAACTGGCCTTTGTCCAGGGATCTCTCTGGGGCTTTTATGGTGTTTTGACTGTGGTAAGCTCTACTTCAGTAGCCTGCCACAGGTTTTTATTTTACAAGAGCTTATTCAGAAGGGATTTAACTTTGTATTTATTGTTTCATGTTTTTAGTTGTTTGATCTGCTCTTTCATCTTTATCCACCCATCCATCCATTTTCGGCTGCTTACCCGGGGTCGGATTGCGGGGGCAGCAGCCCAAGCAGGAAGGCCCAGACTTCCCTCTGCCCAGCCACTTGGGCCAGCTCCTCCGGGGGAATCCTAAGGCGTTCCCTGGCCAGGTGAGAGACATAGTCTCTCCAGCGTGTCCTGGGTCTTCCTTTGGGTCTCCTCCCAGTTGGACGAGCCCAGAAAACCTCACAAGTGAGGCATCTAGGAGGCATCCTAACTAGATACCCAAGCCACCTCAACTGGCTCCTCTCGACTTGGAGCAGCGGATCTACTCCAAGCCCCTCCCGGATGACTAAGCTTCTCACCCTATCTCTAAGTGAGAGCCCAGCCACCCTGCAGAGAAAACTCATTCCAGCCACTTGTATCCGTCATGGCTTTGCTTTGTTTTCCTAAATTTCTAAATTCAGATTTCTACTACTTGTGTCGACTTTTGCAGGAGTTGCTCAGGATTTTAGTTAAAGGTTACGACCTGTCTGGAGTAATGAGATCAGTAGTGCTGATGCTAACAGGACTAAAGATGAAAACTAGCAGCTTAGCTCTAATCTGGTGCTTCTCATGAGATCAGTGACATTGTTAAAAAAAACAAACTCAAACTGAATCCTCGTAGAGGTGGGTTATGTTTAATCATTTTGCTGAAGTTCTGCATTTTAACCTAAACATGTGTGTTTATGGTCTGTGGGAGGAAACTGGAACACTGAGAGAAAACCAACACATGCATGAAGAGAACAAAAACAAGCACACACACAAAGGCCACAGCCAGGATTTGAACCTGCAACCTTTTGCTGAGAGACAACAGTGCTACCAACTGTGGTTCATTTTAGACATTCAGGATTATCAAAGCAACTGGTTTGGGCTCAAAATGCTTGAAAATTTTTTTCCACACTAATGGATGCTGTGGTACTCCAGCAATAATAATAATAATAATAATATAATAATAATAATAATAATAATAATAATAATAATAATAATAATAATAATAATAATAACAATAATACATTTTATTTCAAGCGCCTTTCAAAGCTCTCAAGGTCACTGTACAAGACAAAATATAAGGAACAGCAAGCACTACAAACAACAAGAAATAAATGCTAAGAGTAATTTCCAAGGGTAGAGTCGGAGCAGTGCAATGGATAATAGACAAAAAAGAGTCGATGGAAGGAGGACAGTTACAGTGAGTAAGCCAGGCGGAACGTGTGAGTTTTGAGTTGAGACTTGAAGGTTGAGAAGGAGTTTATATTGCGGAGGTCAGGCGGCAGAGCGTTCCAGAGTTTTGGAGCTGAGTGGCTGAAAGCTCTGGCTCCCATAGTACAGAGACGAGTGCGAGGAACCGACAGGGAAGGTGAAGATGATGATCGGAGAGAGCGAGTGGGAGTGACAATGTGGAGGAGATTAGAAAGATATGGGGGAGCGAGATTATGGATGGCTTTAAAGGCATGAAGAAGTATCTTATAGTCAATTCTGTATTTGACAGGGAGCCAGTGAAGTTGTTGCAGGACCGGGGTGATGTGATCAAAAGTGGAGGTCTTGGTGATTATCCAGGCAGCTGAATTTTGGACTAACTGTAGTTTGTTGAGTGATTTTAGAGGGAGACCGGAGAGGAGGGCATTACGGTAATCAATGCGACTGGTGACCAGGCTGTGGACCAAAATATCAGTGGAGTGTTGACTGAGGGAGGGGCGGAGCCGACTGACATTACGAAGATGAAAATAAGCCGTTTTTATTGTGTTGTTAATATGAGGAATGAAGGAAAAGGTGTTGTCTAAGATGACACCCAAGCTCTTAGCTTTGGCGGTGGGGAGGAGTGTGGTGTCGTCGAAGCTGAGTGAGAAGGAACTGGTCTTAGATAGAGATGACTTGGTGCCAATGAGGAGGATCTCAGTGTTATTGCTGTTATGCTGTAGAAAGTTAGAAGAAAACCAGGATTTGACTTCGGAGAGGCAACTTGAGTCACCCCAAGCTGAGCTGCTGGTGCGTCAGGGACTGATCGCCAGCCTTGGTCCTGCTTTCTGCGATGAGCTGAGGACGCTCCTGTCTGACGAAACGATGATGGATCTCCTCACAATTTTCACTTGTTAATTGCCCCTGTTTTTATTGGTCAGTAGATTTACACCTGAGGATGTGAGGCGGTGACAGGGTGTGGCAGGTAACCTCTTGCTTGATGAATGAGATTGATTTCACAGAGCACAGCGCTGTCTGCATCATCAGCTTCAAAACGATGCTGGCAGGCTGATCCTAAAGAACACTTGGACCCGTTAGCAAATGACGGATTCATCTGAAACAGGCTTTTGGAGGATGATAATCCCATCACATCATTCTGAGCCATTTTACAGCCAACAAGACACTTAAACCCTACAATGCCATTGGTATGTTTGCTACATGAGATTCAGAGACCTTCATCTCATCGACATCAATATTTGCCTTAAAATTCTTTGGTATAATCTGATGTGTATGCCCCCTACTGGATTATTATGCCACTACAGGCCACTCAAATTTGGTTTTCAACATTCCCAACATGGCTGCTCCCGGTAAGTGATCCACCAAGCTGCTTGTTTAACCTTTATTGCTCAGGCTGAACTCCCAACAGCACTGTTCATATTAAATAAGGTAAAATGCAACCTGATGTAGTCTATTGTGACTTGTAAAAATTAATCCAGCAGGGGGCGCAAACACTTCAGACTACACCTTTCACTGGATTATTGTAAAGCCCACTGAAGGCAACATGTCAGCCGTGTTGCAGGCGATCAGCTGGATCGCTGCAGATTTTAGTTACTAAGGGTCAGAGTGATGCTGCTGGGGTAGTTCAGCCATGGAAACTCGAACAAGACTGTCTCGCCCAAGTTTTACAGTTTATGTATGCTTAACATTAAGATGATCTTATGGCATTTGAGTGTTTAGTTCTTTATAAGAAAAGTGGTCCAGAAAGCCCCTCACCCTTTTCTGGGCCGAGACTGTACTTTCCAGAATTTTCTCTTCCTTTTGTTTTTAAACCCATTTTTCTACATCAAAGCCATATTGACATCAGAAATCCTCTTTTTTCCCCCCAACACACACACACTTGAATGACACTAGTGAACTTTACTAGTGTTCACAAGAAGTGTCGACAGTGTGAACTGGGAAAAAGCTCATTAAATGACAGCAAATGGTCAGAATTTATCATTTATTAACAGGATGCATATTAACTCTATCCCATTGTCTCCTGTGATTCCAGCCAAGAAGCAGAGGCTCATGGAGCTCAGGATGAGGTTTGATGGTTGTATGGAAAGGTTTTGAAACCTTCAGGCACATGACCTTCAGTTCTGATCCCCTTTTAGTCCATTAGTCAACAGGACCATTTAATCAGGTACTCATCCTTGCTTTTGATTACCAGATTCATGCTGGAGAGCACCAAGCTGACTGGAGGTGTTTGATGGACTAGTTTTAGAGTTGTGGTGGGGGCCTGGGCCGCCATGCTGGTGCTGGCGACGCTTGTGGGGGCCTGGGCCGCCATGCTTGAGGGGGCCTGGGCCGCCATGCTTGAGGGGGCCTGGGCCGCCATGCTGGTGCTGGGGACGCTGGCGGGGGCCTGGGCCGCCATGCTGGTGCTGGGGACGCTGGCGGGGGCCTGGGCCGCCATGCTGGTGCTGGGGACGCTGGCGGGGGCCTGGGCCGCCATGCTGGTGCTGGGGACGCTGGCGGGGGCCTGGGCCGCCATGCTGGTGCTGGGGACGCTGGCGGGGGCCTGGGCCGCCATGCTGGTGCTGGGGACGCTGGCGGGGGCCTGGGCCGCCATGCTGGTGCTGGGGACGCTGGCGGGGGCCTGGGCCGCCATGCTGGTGCTGGGGACGCTGGCGGGGGCCTGGGCCGCCATGCTGGTGCTGGGGACGCTGGCGGGGGCCTGGGCCGCCATGCTGGTGCTGGGGACGCTGGCGGGGGCCTGGGCCGCCATGCTGGTGCTGGGGACGCTCGCGGGGTCCTGGGCCGCCATGCTGGTGCTGGGGACGCTGGTGGGGGCCTGGGCCGCCATGGTGGTGCTGGGGAAGCTGGTGGGGTCCTGGGCCGCCATGCTGGTGTTGGGGACGCTGGTAGAATCTTGGCCAACGCCAGTCTCCATCCCTCACTCGTGAAACCAGAAGAGGGGACTTAAGTTTCGGTTTTACCAGACCAGGTTTTTCTCCATCACTGCATTCCTCAGACCAGGGAAGACGATTCAATTTTGCATGGATCTTAAATTTTCCAGACGAGAGAGGATCACCTCCATCTTTGGGCAAGCAGAGTTTCTTTAGTTGCTGAGGGCGTCCCAACTCTGGTATGACAAATAAAAGTCATCCAATAACACTCAGATCCTCAGATGTGAAGAATGGCTCCACAGTTTATCACCACCAGGCGAGTGGTTGAGTCAGAAAACATTTCATTTCAAACTCACCTTTGACCAAACCTGAGGAATAGTTCACACACATCAGCAAGAAGAGCAGCAACATCCTGGGAAGAAAACCGATATAGTAACACAATTTGACACATTTCAGATATTAAGCAAAAACCCATCTTATACCAAAAATCAGTACCTTATGATAAAGAACTGAGCAGCCATGACTGCAGCAGGTCCCAGCTAGGTGCTGAGCTTGTCTCTGGACTCAGAGAGCAAACAAACCCAGCACTTGCTCCAGCCAGAAACACAACACCTCTCACAGCTCAGCACATCTCATGCTGCCACCTTCATATGCCTTCCACCCACAGGAGTCTCGCAGGTGTTATCAATCTCAAATTTTAACGAGAAGTTGAGCAGAAGGGTCCAAGTTGGCGAAAGCTGCGCCTCACACAGGTGTGATCACTTCTGACTGACACATGAGCAATCTGTTTCCCTCCCAGTTGTAGGAAGTGCTTCTCAACTCTTTTACCTTCTGGTTTCTTCTTTAGAAAAGAAAAACGTTATGTAAGATTTGTCAGGAGACATTCAGTCAAGTCACGAGGGGACTAACAAATTGCACATGCTCGTTATTGCAGATGACAACATGAGTCACTCTGTGATCACTTTGTAGGCTCATGCAGAGAAAGCACATCAATGATGACAAAGCTATGATTTAGCCCCCGCTGACAGCACCGGGGCCGAAGGTCGACCCCGAGAAGGTAAGTGTCATCACGTCACAGCGAATACGACACAAACGTCAAGAGCCTTTTGTCTCATTTCTTCTGCGTTTCTTAACCTCTGGACAGTAAGAAGAAACACTCATGCACACATTAGGATGGAGAGGTTTCCCTTGACAGGTAGCAAATAAAAGTTTCTGGTGTGGAACATAAACTCACAGGAAAAGCGCTCTGCCCACACAAACACACACGTTTAGCATTCAGCCTGAAACCATGTGAAAGTTCCCTCGTGTAGATCTGTGGGAGTGAGCCACCGTCACTGTCGCTGTCAGGGATGTCAGCTCCTCACCTCCCTAACCTGGAGCTCCAAGCTGCCCCCAGGCTGAGAGTGTGTTTTACTGCCAGGAAAAGGTGTGGCGGGAAAACAAGTTCAGTTCCAGAGCATCTAGAGTTTGTGAATGTTAGAGGTTAGTCTCATTTAGAATGAGATCAGAGTTTCTGCAGAGGGTCCCCTTGTCAAGAATAATAACAACAACAACAAAAAAATAATAATAATTATTATTATACAAAACGTTGCATAAACGTGATGGGAAACTTTGTGAAACATGTTAATTATGTGTCCAAGAGGGTCACTAGCAGCAACAGGAGTGGACCCAGAACAGAGCTTTGGGGTACCAAAGAGCTTTGCTCATTAAAAATATATTTTTAAGCAGTTTCTAAATTCTTTTTTGTACTTTTACATTTTTTATTTTTGTGAAGCGCCTCATGATTTTTATCTTGAGAGGCGCTACAGAAATGATCTTTTCTTCTTCTTTTTCTTCTACCGCGAATAACAGATGGGTAGAATTTGACATGATCTGGTTTATAAAGAAACTGAAACTTCGGTTGGAAAGGTATGATCTGACCCAGACTGAAACACGTCTCCACTGGGTCATGGAGTCGGTTAATTAAAGGGACATTATGGAAGTTTGACAGCCAAAACACGTATAGAAATAATAAATGTCTTCTTCATACATTCTCCTGCAACGCCCTGGTCCTGTAGAATGAGCCATGGCATTTTTACTGTGATTGCCTGTTTTTCTGTAAAATCACAGAAAAAGAGAGCTGCTCGGGTCGAGCAGGCTGCTTCATGCGCGTTCACGCTCAGGCATCGCCCGTAGCATTTGCTATCCGTAGCTTTAGCAGCAGAGAGAGAGGCAGTGCCACTTTGTCGCTGTTCCTAACGCCTAGTGACAAAGCTAGCTACATTTCTGAGGACCCTTAGCTACTTTCTGTAGAACTTTCTTCTAGATATTTCCTGCTAATTAGCAACAAAATAGCCATTTTCACTCCGAACTGTTCTTTGGTTTGACGTTGTTTCAGCTGTCATCAAGGATATAAAAGTTACAGATACTGTGAATGTTACTAGAGTGTAGCTCACTAAAGCTCCCTTCAGACAGGCCATGAAAAACGGAAATGTTCAGGACTCTGTCCGTAAGACCTTTGTGTCTGAATACAAACGTCCGGATAACGTGTTCCGGAATTTATCCGGACGAAGCCCCTAGTAACAGGTCCGGAATTGTTACGGACAAGGTGGCTGCTTCAGACTGGTGAGGTAAAGTTCCGGACAAGGGGGAGGGGGAGGAGGAGGGGACCGGGGGACGCTGTGCGCACCTAGATAGCCCGCTGCTGTAGCATGCGGCGAACCATGACAGCTCGCCTCCTACAGTACCTTAGCTACTTTCTGTAGAACTTTCTTCTAGATATTTCCTGCAAATTAGCAACAAAATAGCCATTTTCACTCCGAACCGTTCTTTGGTTTGACGTTTCAGCTGTCATCAAGGATATAAATATTACAGATACAAAAGACGTCACTGGCGCTTTAGCTCACCTAGTAAGATGTCTGACTCTCATGCAGAAGACCTGGGTTTGATTCTGGATGTGAACATAGTTTATTTAGAGTTTATTTTTTACATTAATAGTATATTTTTTACAGTAAGATGCCCAAATTTTTATTTGAGACTCGCCGAACGGCATTGAATTCACAGATAAAAAAGATGTGGGTTCAACTTTCATTTTGGAACAATTTTTCAAGCAAGGGAAGGGAATGATCTGAGCATGCAGGAGGACTGACCCATCATAAACCTTTGTCGGCTGTGCTGAAGAGAAAGCTACAGAACCAAATTATTTAATTAATTAGCTGCACGTTCTCCTGTCCTCCGGGACACACACACACACACACACACACACACACACACACACACACACACACACACACACACACACACACACACACACACACACACACACACACACACACACACACACACACGGGACTGTCTCAGCTGTTATTTTCATTAAGGAGTGTGCACGTACAGCATGCGCGCCTCGTGCACGAGCCTACTATTGAAGCTGCCGTAACACTTTTGGCCTGAGGGGGCAATCGCGAGCATAAAAATTCAAAAGTCCAAAAAGTCCTTTTAAAGTGGGAGTCAAGGCATGGGTGGGGACTCATTTCATCCACACTTCCTGTTAGGAAAACGCTTCTGAAAGAGGCGTCGCCTGGTGGACCGAGAGAGCGGCGCTGAGGCAGTGATAGACGGCACCGCCCTCAACCCCCCGCTGTCGGAGTTTTTCAGTCTAAAAACGAGTTGTTAGCGAGGGCGTGCTTCATCAGTGGGATGCCCTCACTAGGGATGAGCAAAATATCGCGTGCCTGTACGAATCCTGATCAGGAGCTGGTCGTGAGGTGTTAAGCGCCTCTCGCTTTACCCTCTGTATACTGCACAACGCAAAACTCGCCATGCCCTCAAAGATTCTTGCATGAGAGGAAAGCAAAACTGGCTCAGAACGGTCCAAAAAATGCACAGCGTAGGCCTGGCTTAACAAAAGCTGCAGAAAGATGAACCAAAACTGTAAATTCTTCGCTCCCAGACGGCATTCTGGGTAAAAGCGATTCTCTCCTCGTCTTCACTTTCGCCTGCTTTACTTGTTTTGCATTTTTTCCCCTTTGAAACCTTCTGTCTAAAACATTTGTAAGTTTGGAGTTGACTTGTCAGGTTTTGTCATGCACACTGGGACATACAAGTCTCAGCTGAGGGAAGTCCAGTCAGAGTGTTTCAGCCCGCTGCCTTCGGAGCCGATCTGGACACCCGTGATGGACACACTGGTGCTGAAACTTTCTGACGAGCTCTCTCGCATGTTGCAGCTCTCTCAGCAACGCTGGTGATGTTCTACATCCACACCCGACGCGTCTCGTTAGTGATGAACGCGCTGAACGAATGTCAACGCGTGTCACATCCACAGCGAGTCATTGTGTGTTCGTTTTGTAAAGAAGAACTCATCCGCTGCAATAGCCCGGTTCGTTTTAAATTAGTTCCTCACTGCAGAAAAGCCCAAGGCTGTTCAATTTGCCTTCACAACTCAGAAGCTTTCACTGATTGCGTTTGCTTTTACAGGCAGAAGTTCCAAAAATTAGCCAAGGGCTTCAGGGTTTGAAGAGTTTCCAAATCCTCGCCCCTTGCCAGCTAAGCATCGCGGAAGGCTGAGGATGCTAATGGCTTTTACATATTGGCAAACACACCTTTGGGAGGCTGTTGTTGTCATAAGCTCTGGGGCTTGCTGTGGTTCTATCTCACTCTCTTTACTTTATCTCAGCTCTTTGATCTTGTTTGCATGGCTTGAATGTGTTTTCCAGTTAGCTTTGCTCCCTGCACAGCCGAATCCTTTTCTGCAGAGCAGGATTAGCGGCTTAGTGCGGTAACGTCCAGCCTGTTACGGAGCAGGTTCGGCTGAGTGCCACTGACTGGAAAAGAAAACATTACCTGCTAATTCCTTCTCCAAACACGCCTTCGGCATCTCATCTTGTATTTCACACAACATCAGAAAAAATTCAAGCAAACAATTTTAACTTTCTTTTGAACAGTTTTGATCCAGCATCACCAAAACCAGTGGCGGCTGGCCAGTAGAGGGCGATAGGGCGCCACCCTCCCAGTTTTCCCCAGTGTTTTTAATTTTTATTTAAAAAAAATAAAACAAATAAAATTAACAATAATCACATATTCTAAGTTAATTGTGTGTTTTGTAACAAAAATAAATCATATATATATATATATATATGACGTCATGATATGAATGATGTCATAATCCTGCTTCCTCTAAATCACTGATTTATTTTTTAGAAATTTGT